ACGTCTCTACAGCACCACGGTCCCTCCGTATCGCCCTCACCCTCATTGGCAGTTGTTTTTAATTCGCTCCCTCCGTGCTTACTGTTTTTCTGCTCGCCGTACCCTTATCACAAAGTTAATATTGAATTCGTTTATTATGAATATCTAATTTTCTGACTTATAAGTGGTTATATAATTTCAGTACCAAGCTGTCATTAAGAATAAAATTTTGAAGAACACATTACAGTCTAACTAAATTTATTTAACTGTTGGATTATACTGGTTTATGGATTTCGTCGCAATTAATTTCTTGAAAGAAGCAATGATAACGATCCCAGTTTTCAAAATATCATGCAAAAAAAATTTTTTTTAGGAAGCGTCAGCCCAGGCCTGTATTAAATTATTGCAAATGGTTATTTGTCATATGCGTAGAATCTCGTTCTACCGTATTTTGTATTAGGTTTTTTTAAGATCTTCAATTGCAGAGGGATGAAGGACAAAGAAAGAGTTTTATTATTCGCAGCAACTCTAGCAAACATCGAGAAAGATTTTATTCATAAACAAAAGATTGCGGACCGCATCCAGTTTGACTCGACCGTAGCGGCGCGCAGGCGAGTGCTCTGCAAATTTCACTACTCAGCGAGGCCACTTGAGACGCGGTTAAAAGGGCATTATTTCCACTTTGCATATGAACGCGGCCGTTATCGGCTGCGATGATCGCGCGGGATTCTTACGAGCGGCTCCTAGGGGCGTTTTTCCCGCCACTTGGGCGACGGCAAAGCCCTCCCATCTGCGGCTCTGATTGCAGCTTGTGTCACATCTCGCTTTGACAGTTTCGAGTGAGTAACATCTCCCGTGCGCGGCAGTTTCAATTGTAACTCGCTTCGGCTCAAACTTCGTCGTCTCCCCCCACCGTCTTGTTCGTAACAACGCTGTTACTGTGACAATGGAAGATAAGATACGCGCGTTTTGTTGCTTCTATCACAGTACAGTTTTTGTTATACGAAGTCTAAAAATAATGTTCAAACATAAAAGATATCGGGTAACTCTTTAAAATGTTAGCAAATGCGATGTTTATTACAAAGTTTATACCTAAATGGATAGTTTCAATACAATTGTCCGTAAAAGGACCGTATCGACAGGCAATAAGACGTAAAAGACCACATGCTGTTTTAGTTTTTTTTCATCGCTCTCTTGAAATATGTCGCCTCTAGGCGCCAGACGGCCCGCTTCACATAATTAAAAATGGCATCGTAGCGTAAACTATTTTAAGTGACTGTCGCTTCCTGATACATTTGTTTTGTCCCACCCGACCTTTGATTGCCAGCTCGATGATTGATATATTAACCATTGTAACGTGTGGCTATTCTGATAAATTAAAAAGTCGACATTCTTGATGAAAAGATGTACATTGCTTACATATTATGTTTCCCTTCAGAATATTATGATGGCGAATTACATAAGAAAATTTAGAAAAGGGAAAAGTTACAAATACACCGACTAAATTATGTGAAAGATGGAGAAAATAAATATAAGTAAATAAATCATACACGAGTTAAATATCTTTGTCATGTCCTTGTCCACACTTGTCCAAAATAAGGGCGCAAAATAAAGATGGCACAGATGTTATGATGAGAGGAAGAAATGTCTATCGTTTCGTGAACTCTTGACGTCATTTGGAACAATTATATCTTCCACCGAACCACCATATCTTACAACTACACCATACTATCAATATAAAATAGAAAAAGATAATCTTTTGTCCGCAATGGTGTTTATTTTCTTGAATACTAGCTGACTCGGCAAACGTTGTTCTGCCATACCAATTATTTCTAGAGGAATCGGAACGCACGCATAAAGTGTTTGACAGGTTACACAGACATAGTTGACAGTTTGAGAGGTACAGTTTGAATGGGAAAATAAAATTGTTGCAATTTTTTCATAATTTCTCGTCGTTTAAACCTTCCCTGGACTGCCACAAATATTTCAAAACCAAAATTTAGCCAAATCGGTCCAGCCGTTCTCGAGTTTTAGCGAGACTAACGAACAACAATCCATTTTTATATATAAGAAGATAACGCGGAAAGGGTGATATTAATTTTTATGTGAGAATTTGAAAAGAGAGTAAGTCTTTCACCTGATGTTATGAGATTACTACCTATTCACGAGACTGCAAAGCATAATACTTCCATTTTAGGTTGGTCTTCTGTGAGGGCTCAGTAATTCCTTAAACGAGATTAGTTGTTGCTTCGGGCTCTACCACAGTCAAAAACCCGATGACGGTTTTTAAGCTTATTTAGTTAATATGCAAGTTAATTTCACCTTGCCTAATTACTGAAAAAGCTTCTAAGTTGGATATCCGCGATACTTATATAGAATCCGTTGTTTATTTCTATCATACTACAAATCTCTCATTGTATCAACTAAGTGAACAACCAAAAATAAATCACGAACCACCTAAAACGTTGTAATGGTACTAAGACATAAAAAGACACAAAACAATTTTCGTGGCCGCTGATTGCATCATCGCCTTTGTGTATCACCAATGTAATACACGGAAACGTCTAGAACAATTTTGGAGGGCCACGCGCATGCACCATAACCTCGCGTACTACAGAGGCTGGGAGCGACCTACGAAGGTCGCGGCTGAAACGCCATTCAGGCGTCCGACATCGCTCATTGATTTTCGACTAACGCCATGTGGTAAGGTTAACTGGAGCGGGAACTGACCGGGCAATTATTGGACGCCATTTAGCACACGTGTACGATTACAAGCACCAGTTAAAAATGTCAAAGGTTAAAAACTTTTGGGGTCCTCGTCGAAATGCCTCCAAAGAAATATAAACTATAGAAATTTATAACTCAACATCATTAGATCAATATTTTAAAGGTGGGCAATTTGAAAAATAAAAATATCCTACGTCGTTTTTACGATTCTTCGATTATATTCGATAACAGCAAGACCGATTGTAAATATCAAATATTTTGTTGACAACATCTTGCTATAAATATAGAGCTTACGAGAATTATAGGTAATTGAAAAAACATACTCCTATTTTTACCGTCATGCTAGGAAAAACGATATGTAGTATTTTTTATTGCACACTTCGAAATACCGTATGTACTTGCAATACCAACAACGTAATACTTAACAGCTTTGTTTTGGATACATTCTTGTTAGATAAATAGCCAGTATAACCTGCCTATACATACCTACATTCACTTCTTGGAAGTACGTAGAATATGCTCTGCTCTGTTGTGAATTGCGGTTGCAGTAACAGGAATAAGTTTATTTCTTCAGTGACTACGTGAGTATGGCCTTCATTTAGGTCATTGCAAATGTCGTGTTCGTTGAATCAAAACAAATAATTACTGAGTGTTTTGAACTTTTAGCTTTATCCTTCCTCGTCTTTATTTTACTATCGTTGGACTAGAAAATAGTTTTAGCTACAAACACCGCATTTGTTACACCTCGTTAAAAAAAATTCTGTCTCATAACCTGTACATAACATACGCTAAAAATAAGGAGCCGATGAGATTACCTCTTACATTTACTAGCCCTACCCTTTCATTCACCCTTCACCCCCCGTTACTCTTCTATAAAATGGGAATATCGAATAAATCTGTAAATATTTATGCTGATTGTAGTTATTTATGCTCAGTAGCTGTGCTTTAATTATTGTGGGAGTGAGATAATTTTCATGCTTCTTTCTACAAAAAAAAAATAATGATTCGAATATAAAGTTGTCATTTCGAAATTCCTTTTTAGTGGACGCTTCTTTCTTTCCGAATTTCACCTTTCGAGACTAAGTAGTTTAGCTGTACCTACATTGATAACCAGGACAATCGATTTTAGAAGAATACATTAAAATATTTTTTTTTTATAGTATTGTATATTTCTAAAATTCATGAAAATTATAGTGATTACCTCGATCGTAATGCATGACAAGGATGCTGTGAGGCGGATACAAGACTTAAGTGAATCACGGCGGCGCCTTCGAAGCGAACCTTTCGCAGAATCGCTTTGGCTCACTTTGTGCGCGCGTCGAGCTCGTATCGCTAGCGTAACGGAGTGAGGTCATTGACTGACCGCGGGACAACAGATAACATAAAACCTTGTGAATGGTTTGACGAAATCTGTGAACGAATTCTGGAGTGTTAACAACAAATAAAATGCTACGAAAAACACGTCACGTCTTCTAACCCTAATAAAGCTTCAAAAACTTTATTATTTAATGGTAGGAGGTAGCAAACGGTCACAGTTTAGCTGCACTTTCTAAGTGATCACCTTCGCCCATGAACTCTCAACACAAGCACTGGGTTCCAGTTGTTTTGCCAACTTTCCAGGGTTCCCCTGAGAGCTCACTCAACAGGCGAAATGCAAAAGCATCAAATATTACTTCTTTCCGTTGGTCTTCTGTGAGTTCTCCATGGACGAGTCCGCCTACTTATACCACGGCGGTAGCTGCTGCGAGGCTCTACTGAATTGAACAGTGTGAATCGAACCCACGAACCTTCACACCCATGCTACAGATTTATCTATATCGTTATTCACAAAAGTGCTACATAGTAAGGCAATTGACCAACACGGTGCACAAATGTGAGACTTTTTGCAGACAGCTACGTTAATTTACACCCCCGGCTATAAGCAAGATCAACTCCAATCCATTGGTTGAATTCAAATGATATTATTTATATATAAAATGTTATGTCAAATAACATTTTATATATAAATATTAGTAATGTACTAAATCTATCACGTTATTGATATATTTTTTTAACTGACGCAGTTCTTGACGAAACGCATGTAATGACGTACATCCTGACTCACATACTCTGTCTAATAACTTCAGTTCAATAAATTTATAGTTATAATAATTGATTCGCGGCGGACATTGCCCGATCAGTTTGCTAAGAAACGTAGCAGCGAACGCATCCTATAGCAGACTACATACGCGCATCGAATGGTACTCGTTACTTGTGAAGTTATACTAAGTGAAAACGTACGATTAGTTATAACAATGTGCAATTGTAAAGGACTTCAAACCAGCGCTAGAAAAGTAAAAGAGAAACGGGTCAGTATTTTATTTAGAAAGAATATTAATCTCTAATGTAGTCACATTATTACAAAATTACTTTGTTATAATAAACTATTTTTATTTTTATATTTCCTTCGTGCATTTTCAACTTAAGCTTCGATCCATACTTTGCTTAAAAATGACAACAAATAATATAATAATTTCTATAAAAATGGCGGTGATCTTAAAATATTTATTGTTCTTAATAAAATAGTATTGGATATATACGTATAGACAATTTAAAAATAAAAATAAGGGATTAAAGAAACATATTACGGGTTCGTTAACACCGCGACGCGACGTCGCGCCGGCGTCGAATTGCAATACGTCGCGATTTGATAACGGCCGTTAAGTTATATCGGTTGCATAAACGGTTGCGTCGGAAACGGACATGGCCTGCCCCAACGCCATCGCCCACAATCGCTCGTGTTGCACAATGCAATCTGTCATTATCGGCCCGATTTGGGACACGATGTTCCGTTGCAGCTGCAATGCATATGCGCTAGGTGTAAGTGCACCATGATTTAGAACAGGCTATTAGGACATGGTATAAAAATGTAGATAACGCAAAAGTAAGTGTAGGTTGGGAGAAAGCTACTTAATTGTAAGTAGAGTAGACATATAATGGAATAGAATATTTTAAATCAAAATTTTATATTTGTCTCTATTGTAAAGTTTCCCAAAGTAATATTATATATTTAAAAAATAATTACCATTTTACTATAAAATTTCTATAACTAAAACTTCCTTTTTGTTTCATTTATACAACTTTTACGATATATTTTCGCTTCAATTTTATGTAATTGCTGTTATCGAAAAAAATATGGAATGCTTGGACTACTGAGAAAGAAATTTTTCTAATAAAATTTGTTAAATTCAAATTGAACGTATTAGTATAAAAGTACAGTGAATTTAGTTTTATGAAACAAATTCATTACTAATAGTACCTAATAAAATAATTTGTCAATTATTATATTTAACATATTTAAAACATGTCAAAGTATGGACAACTTAGTTATATTCACGACGACACACACATGAGGGTGCCGCCGCAAAAAGGGAGTTAAATCTTGCTCATATATTTCATATACATTTGTTACTATTGAGTATTATACTTTTGGTTAGGATATAATTCTATTTGTATCGGTGTAAGTTAGAATAGAAATGAATTTTATTTTTAATACGTGAAATTGTTTTTTTTGAGATTTCCTGTTGAAAACCAAAAGCATGACTGCATTCATAATAAATTCTTAGTGCATCTGTACTAACTGAATCATAAAATTCCTAACGATGTTATATAAGTTGTGATTATACTTTATTAATCCATTACGATATATTATCATCTAAGATGATGAATATTTGACCAATATTAGCATTGCATGCATTAAGAAGTAGGCCGACTAATGCGTGGAGTTTTCAGGCCAGTATTTAAACTTGGTATATCAATACAATCCACGGGCGACGACAGATATCGTTCTGTCCCACTTTCCACTATTTCTTACGACAGTGTAATTAAGTTTTCGAAACAGAAATAATGCCTCAGCCTAAGTTTAGTGAAATGTACTACTGTTTTCACCCTATTATAAGTAGAATAGTTTAAGTATCACGAAGACATGTATAAGTATTGTTAACTGCGATTAAATCTAAATGAGACCTTTCGCTTGCAGTGTATGGCGCGGGCGTTATATGACAATATTGCCGAATCACCGGACGAGCTGGCGTTTAGGCGCGGCGACCTTCTTACAGTGCTGGAGCAGAATACTGGTGGCAGCGAGGGCTGGTGGCTATGCTCCCTACGAGGGCGCCAGGTAAGATCTACTCCACACGAAACCTATTATGTAGACCACAGAGCGATTGACTAATTATATGCACTATTATGTTGATTTCAATTTTATAAACCTGTATGGGACCGTCTATGAATGACGTGAGGGTTTGAAAAAAATGACGAAATATCACAAGGGGGTAGGGGAGGTGTAGTAAGATATCACGTCTATTTATTTTTTCGACAAACGCGCGAGTTCTAAACGGAAAAGTAATGTGTAGTGTGACCTTGACTCACCGTTACATTTTTATCATGGTAATTAATTTCAGAATAAAAAATATACTTTACACTTGGCCAAGTAGACAAACGAAAACTTTCCACGTTATAAAAGTCACAACAAAACGAAACATTTCACTTATACCCTTTAAGTAAAACTTTCTCGTGATCTTTTTACCACAGACAGAGAGCTTTCGAAAAAAATATTTGTCCGTTCTTTAGCATATCAGCTTTTATGAACTTAATTGACCACAGTGGATCAAATTAGTTCAAACTTAGACTGTCTTTGGGAATAGCAAGTAAATGTCCATACATGTAGGTCGCGAACAAAACTGCGATTCACCTGATGCTAAGTTGTTAGGCCCATTCATAAAGCAGTCACTTTTGCATGAATGGGCAAGGTCGTCCGAGGAAGTTACCAGGGCCTCACAGAAGACCGGCATGAAATGGAATTATTTTGTTCTCCATACTTTCGAGTTCCATCATCATTACATTCATTGCGAGTGAGGTAGCTGGCTCAATTTTTTAATGGTTAGCAACGTTATTACAGCCTTTCCAGTTAGTTGTTATAGATGTCCAAGGGCGGCGGTAGTCACTTAATATGAGGTGAACTGCCTGCTCACTTGCCAACTCTTCAGATCATAAATAACCTGATGCTTAATGATTACCACCGCTTACACGTTGTCAATTTTTAAGAGAGTAGGCCCAAAATGCAAACGTACGACGATTTTTATTTAACACCAGTTTTCTCTAGGGCCATAGTACTCCCCCAGAAGTCGGCTACATCAATAGAAGTTACTACGTTGCTCCACCACGATTTAAATCTATTGAAAATTAGTGAGTGTAACCAAGGTCTTTCAAATTTATCCATACTACTGACCTTCATAGAAACAAGCGCTTATTCTGAGATGAAAAGAACCTTATTATTGTTAAGTTATACATACCTACTCGTTGAACTCATCAGAGATTTTGCGATGATGACGCGATTCGAACGTGACAATATTCCCTCCTTTATGAAGGCTTGTATCAATGCCGATGACGTGAGCTTTTGTAGGAATGATGCGTAATGGTTATAATTTGTTTTGGGATGGAACAGAATAAGTATATAATTATATTGGTTAGAAGCCAGTGTTAGCGCGATTACGGCTGTAACATGAATGGTTTAAGGAAATACAACTTGTCAAATCATAACATTTTAAAAACTTTAACACCATTTTTGGTGATACAAACATCACAATAAGTTAAAAAGCAATGAGAGAATTTTGGACTGCGGTAGACATTAGGATTATTTTTCTATTATCTCGCTACGAACGCGAATTTCATAAGTTTTTCCTTCATCGCTTGAGGAAATACACCTAAAAGAGTTTTCAATAGATAAATATTCCAATTTAATTTTCCCAAAAAGTAGACAATGCCATGTAACTTACGTTTTTCTTCAGCTTAGTGAGATAACAATAAAGTTATGAGACTTCAGCATCTCCATTCGTCTTCAAACCGTCTGAACCAATAATATTTTCCTGACTTTGTACACTCTTTTTATTGACACTCATTTTTGGTTCTCCATTGAAATTCAAAAAAAAGTTATTTCCATTTTTTTCCATTAACGGCATTGGTTTTCCTGTTCTCCTTCGATACTTATATTGTTTTCAAACTGTTTCACAATTTCCTTACTTTTTTCTGTGAACTAAAAGGATGGGTGATGTACTCCACTGAAATGGATTTCAATAGAAGCATGTCTGCGGTTTTACACAAAAAGCATATGGGAACCAATAGTTGTGTATATTGTACACATCTACAAATCAAGATTATGATTATGTATTATGCACATAATCATGATCTTTAAGGGTATAATATTGTTCCAAGTCATATAGGACTGAACTCCCATACCTTACTCGTCTACACGACCTTGACGAAACAAATTGATTATTATCAGGAAAATTTATAGTGAAAAAAGTATAAAAGTTATACGTTTTACAACTTAACTACATGAAGCCAACAGATTAAGGCGCTGTATGCAGTAAAAATAGGTTTTTCAAAAGATTTTTTAGCAAAATCTACACATTTTATAGCAGCAAAAAAAATATATGTTAATCTTGATCGTACATTCTAAGCGAACATTGTTTCCAAAACATATTCTCGATATATTTTCTCGATAGATAAAAATCATGAAACTACCTCTAAAAGAGAAATTCAAAACTAAAAATGAACGTAATACATGAACAAATCTTAATGAAATTAATATCAGTGGTGTAGAATATATTAATAAAAAGGATTGTTGTTTTAATTTGTTGATTGATGTAAGATATTTCTAAATATTAATTTAATTCATTAAAATTAATTCGAACGCGACGGCCAAAACACCGCGCCACCGCGGCGTTGTTTCGGCTCTCTTCCAACTCCACACGTTGAACAGAGAGCGCTGAGGCGCCTTGCAGATAGACCTACGCCGCTCGTCTTCCGCTCATCGTTACGAAATATGTTCCGTATTTATTTATTATTGAGGGTTATAATTTTATTAGATCATTCGAAAACACGAAACTAAAAAATATATATTCACATATTTCGTATTTTAAATTATTTGTATGAATTAACAACTAAAGCGTAATTTGAATATCTTATCTTGTCATTGATAGGTTTATCAGTCCTATACAAACAGTGTAAAGGCAGGGATGCCAACTTAGGAATTTTCTTCCGAAATTGAGGAATAAAAAATGTGGAATGGAAGTTTATTGGTAGGTAAATTTTTATGGGAATATTTTTATAGGAGTTAAATTTTATTCACATTTTCGAAAAAAACTACACAAAAAACTTATTTAAAAAAAAATTCAGTGCCGTGCTGCTTTGGATGACGTCAGGCCAAGGCCTATGTGTCTGGTATGAATATTTTATGTATTCTAATAAGTTTTTTAATATTGTTTTGATTTTATTCTTAACATATTCATTTCAAATGAATTATGTTATATGTGATGTTCTTGACCATGGTTTATTTTATCAGATAATTATTTTGCCTTTTCCTATAATATAAAAAAATCCTGATTTTAAAATTTAGAAATTTTTGTTTCAATTTAATAAATTTTAGTCGGTTTTCGAATTGTTTTAGGAGTATTATTTTTGAACAGTTTGTAACACTGTGTAAAAGACCATCATTCTATAGGGATTGGGTTCAAATCCCTACATTTTTCTTTGTTATATTTTTTGGTGATTTTCTTTTTGTAGGTATTTTTTTTAATCAACCATTTAATTTTTGTTGATTTTTTTATTTTTATAAATAATTACAACGAAATATTATTGTATTTGTTGAACGTAGAACGCAACAGTAGGAGAACAATCTATCAGATAATAAACCAAGTTTTCATTATTTAAAATTTTTAACAAGTCTTATATTGTATATTATTTTTAATTTGTTTTATTAAAATATTTAATTTTTCACTCTAAAACGAAAACTATTCTTTTACGAACACGAAAAATAATTGTTTTATAATTTTTGTATTTTCCACATTTTATCAAATAACAACAAAATAATAAATTGATTAACAAATTAAAATTGGAAAAACATGTATCAACCATGACGTTCGGACCAATAGGCTACACGATGTCTGCGGAAGGGAACAATATTTCGATTCTAGTTATAATTGTTGTCGTTTATCGATATAAGGAATTTTATCGATAATTTTTTAAATTTAATTTCATTGAGGAATTAATATAAAGGAGTAAGTCTTTCACATTTAAAGGATAAATTAAAGATATAAAGTTTAAGAAAATATGTAATAAAAAAGTCGTATTCGTAATTTCTGCCGTGGAGACTATGAAATTGCGTAATTAAACTAAATGAAAATAAATAATTATTCGTTTATTTATTGTTTTGTTGTAAGAAATGTCATTTGCCTTTATTAATTTATTTGACCTTAAGATGTATTTTTAATCAATTCTAATCCGTTTCCTGATAATTTAAAATAATTAATAGGAAGTTTTTCTAAAATTGTTGATTGCTTTCTCATACTTTATATTTGTTTGTTTATTATGATTCCTATAATAATATAAAAGTAAAGTACAATCATGGTCTATAAAAGATATTATAGGGATCATCTGTGTACATTTTCGAAAGCCTTCCATGATACTATCGATAGTGTCCTACGGCCCATCACTACACACTAGGTAATGAATGGTCTAGCGGCGCGTCGACGAAACTTGCGCGCTGCTTGCCGCCAAGCGGCGTTACCCCTCCTCCGCTTCCTCATACTTCACCACCCAAATAGTTAAAAATTCACTGCATACAGCGCCTTAAATTGAAAATATATGTTTATAAATATATGTTTCGTCATCTTACAGGGAATATGCCCCGGCAACCGGCTGCGCATTGTGGCGGGAGTTTTCGACGGCAGCACTGCGATGCAGAGGCGGCGCACGCGCACCCCCGCGCCCATTGCCCACCAGCCAATGCCCGCACAGCAATCGCCCGCGTTTACAAAAGTACGCATTTTTTATCCTTTTCTTTTAGGCTGGTGTAAAGTGTGACAGACTAAATTATAAAAATTGGATATTGAATATTGGATGGAGAAGCCAAAGATAGAGACGACTGGAGAGGCTAATTATTTTCCTCTGTTGATCATTTTTAATTTGTACTATACAAGAATATTAAAGAATTAGTTAATGCTCATGGAAAATAAACGACATTTAAAAATAACTGGGAGACACGTAGTTATTATTTGCGTCTAACATAGACTTGATATTGTGTTACATTTTTGGAGTCGTTGCTAAAATAAAGACATTTACATCCAGCAGATATAGGATTTATTTTTTTTATTGCGATTTTAACACTACGTCCTTCTCTCTCAAATGAAGCACAGAGCCAGATTTATTTTTACATTGCTCTTACTATAGGATAACATAATCCTGTATTGTAAGAACGTTACAAGCATAAATTTCACGCGGACGAACACCCAGGCGCGAACCAACTGTCTGTGGGTCACACAAATAGTAGTCCCGTGTCGGACTCGAACGCACGACCACCGACGCTGAGGCCAATACCTTGATACCGTGGCAACTGGGCCACGGAGTCACCAAATATGGAGGATAATAATAAGAAAAACTTTTCAGATCGAAGAGTGTTCGCACTACGACGTGCCGCGCGCGCCTCTTCCCGTGACGAGAGGCACGTACGACTGCCCAAGGCCTCTCGGCGATTGGTACGACGCACCCCGCGCCCCCCGGCCCGCCAGCGCTGACTCGGCATGTAGCGGCACCGGCTCGCTCACCTCTGCCACCTCCAGCGCCTCTGCGAACTCCGCGGGCTCGGCGCACTCCGCGGCCTCTGCTGCCTCCGCCGCCTCCGCCTCTAGCACTTACGACGTGCCACGTTCGCGCGCTCTACCTCTGCCGTGCGACGCTGCTTTAGAGGCCTTAGAGCGACTACAGGTTTGTTCAATAAATAAACTACCGGTTTATTCGATAATTAAAATAACCACTAATTTAGCAAATACTTATGACTTGCATATTTATTTTATTGATACTTTTTTATGTAAAATTTTGTGCTTCAAAATAGATGGAGGGTAAAAAATAGAAGCGTTTAGTTATTATAATTTTATACAGTTATAATATATTTTAAATTATAATTTATCCAAGCGTCGTTGGTTGATCCGGCGTAAATGACGGTAACCGGTAACTACCATTGCAATAGAAGAATAGTAGGACATGACGCATCATTATGCGTAAACAAACCAACATAATTGTTTTGTAGTCGTTTTCGCATTGATATTAATATTTAGTCACGATGCTGTAAATAAATAAATGTCCGTTAGCGTTATTTGCGGTCTTAATCTCTACAACCGCAGACTAGTGGTCATCAATTACTTTTGCTATTAGTGTTAGGTTAAAACGTGAAACCGTTTTAGTCATTGCTCACGAGAGCAGTGAATACGATAGCCTGTGGTCAATTTTATGCTCGTGTTTGAACCAAATTCGATATAAAAGCAATAATGTTAAGTTTCAAATATCAAGGAAAAACTAATTTTGTAAAATGCACAAACAGTAATTCGTAGATCTAAAACAAATATTGAGGTATTCTATGATTGGTACTCTTTCAATAACGTTCTGATAATATAATTAACGGACAGTTAGCGTTTGACATGCCACTATCTGACTAGTGCCAACGGTTTTTTTAAATCGGTGTTGCGAATATTAATATGAAGACACCAAATATATACTGACCAAAAAATAAGCTTTTGTTTCATCGACCTCTATATATAGTAAGCGAATTCTAGGCGCCATGTGACGTGACGCTTTTAATGTCATATTATGTTTAATTTAGTCGGATTCCTTTCGCGACAACGGTAAAAGGGGATTCATTTGCAAGTCGTTGTTTGCAAGAAGCGTCGACGCACTCCGGACCAAAATATTACAAACCATACGTTGATGTCTTCGTAGTAACAAATGCTAATCAAGATATGATAAAAACAAGTGCAAGTCAAAAAATGCTCACAATGATTACTTCCTTTTACATTTTTTATTAACAAAAAAACTGACATCAAATATCTCACTCGTTATATATTTTCTATTTGATTCTATCTCCGGAGCTACAGGGAAACTAAATCGAACCGTATGCAAAAAGAATTTTTGTAATCTGGTTAATGAATGGTAGAGTTATGAGGTAACAAACATAAAAAATACAAAAGAATTCAAGAAAGAAGTGTAAACCTTCTGAAAGTCGTTTGAATATATAGCTTGTTTTTTGATGTTATTGCACTTTCGGCGCCGAAACGTCGCGGACGGTTTCGGCATCACTTCTCAGAGTTCCACGCGTGTAAGATACTAGCTTTATGACATCCACGCGTGCGAGACGCTCGCTTGTTGAGATTTCGCGTGTAAGATGCTTGCTTCTTGAGATTCGCGCGTGTAAGATGCTCGCGTTTCGAGATTCCCGCGCGAGGGGATTCTCACGAGAGCTTCTAACTAGGAGTGTGGTGTATTTAGCGTAACGGGTTTATATAACAGGTATCTGGAGATAACAGACTGTACCTGTTACGAACAAACTTAAATAACAGTTTCTGTTCCACACAAATTGCTCCTTGACACGCTGACAAGCTTTTCCTTATTCATGCTTACGACTTTTACCTTAGTTAGAAAGAGATAAAAACTCTCTTACACCTTGTCACAGTTGGTACCGAACACTGTCACTGTCACAAGCTCTTCCTTTTTTTTGCATCGTTCTCATAGTTTAGAAAGGGAAATACGGACGTTACCATAGAGTATAACAGTTACATAAATTAAGTAGTATGAAATAACAGGCTGTTATTTAGTAACAGCTATTCGTCACTGTTGATTTTAAGTAACAGGAACAGGCGTAACAGGTACTCAATTTTTCTAAAACCACTAAAGCATCATCGGCGGATCCGGCGGGCTAGCCGGAACCCGCGGGTTTGAGGCCCTCCTCAGTGGGCAGGGCCGCACGTGTGCTCACGTGTGCGTTGATTACGGGTCACTAGATTTAACCTAGTGTAGCCCACGCCTACTTGCGACCGGCAGGAGGAGGCGTCGGCGGCCGTGTCGCGGCTGCTGTCGCACGTGTCGCCCGGCTGGCGGCGGCGGGGCGCGCTGCGGCCGCGCGTGCTCGACGTGCGCGTGGCGGGCGCCCGCCTGCGCGCCGCCCTCCACGACCTGGCCGTGTTCGCCGACGCGACGCTCGCGAACGCGCACGATGCGCAAGACAAAGGTACCGTGCGCTTTACTTTTTTCACGTGAGATGTTTTTTTTTTTTTTTTTTTTTTTATGTGAAAAGTTGCCAAACGAGCAGACGGTTCACCTGATGGTAAGTGAATACCGCCGCCCATGGACATCTGCTACACCCGAGGGTTACAGATGTGTTGACAACCTTTTGCAAATTGGGCTCCGGCTACCTCACTCACCAGACGAAACGCGAAAGTATTTGTCATACTTCCACTTTACGCTGGTCTTCTGTGAGGTCGTGGTACTTACCCGGACGGGCCTGCCCATTCGTGCAACAGCCGAGGCTGCTGCGTGGCCCTAGCACTATGTAAAGTGATAACCGCAGCCCGTTGAAATTTTCAACTACCAAAGGTCTGCAGATGTTGAAAACCTTTTAATAAAGTCGGCCCCGAAGGTATCTTAGCGATGGCACGCGCTTTTATGTGAGAAGGTGGCGAGCGAGCCGGTCTGATGTTAAGTGATAACCGCCCGTTGATATGTTCAGCCACCGATGGTTTGCAGATGTTGAAAACCTTTTAATAAAGTCGCCTCCGTTGGTATCGTAGCGATGGCACGCACTGCTTACTTTTTTATGTGAGAAGGCAAGCGGGCTGGCAGCTCATCTAATCCTAAGTGATAGCAACACCACATAAGTGTAATACTTCCACTTAACGCTGATCTTTTGTGTGGTCGTGGTACTTACCCGGAGGGACTTGCCCATTCGTGTAACAGTGAAGATCATCACTACACAACCTCACCACCATTACGACAATTGCACTCTTGTTAGACTCTGGTAGACCGTGGTAAAATTTTATCTGTTGTGCACTTTATCTACATCTATAATTATTTTTATTGCTAGTCTGCACTCAAGATGGCAATTGGAATGCGAATTTATGTAGATAAATCATCGATTTTTTCTTTTTACCTGGAAGACGCAAGTTCGACTCCTTTAGTGCAATCCACAATAGTTCACATTTTATCTATCACTTCCACACGTGTAATAGAGAAGTCTGTTACGAGATACATATACGTCCCTCTTGACAAAGACCCAATACAATTATATTTTTCTACAAATTTTAAAGACGTACAGGGCCGGATTTAGAGGCAATCTCGGAAAGCCTCAGGGCAACAAAGGAGTGGAGGCCGCTTGGCCCCATTATTTTCCATTGATTTCTGTTAACATTTAAGGTAAACATGTTTGTACAAAGTACTGCGGGTAAAGGTAAGACGCGAAAAAAATACGAAAGGTAAAGTTGTTTGCTCGTGTTTACTAGCTTGAATTTAATTTGTTCCAAAGCCTCCATCGTGGAGGCCCCGGGGCAGTCGTCCCGGTTGCCTCCCTGAATCCGGCCCCGAAGACGTAACACGTCCGCGATGCGGCAGGTATCGCGGTGAAGCTGCGGCCGCTGGTGAAGGCGCTGAAGGACGCCGAGCGGATCACGCACGAGGCGACGAGCGCGCTGGACGCGGGCGACTGGGCGCCGGAGCGGCTGGAGCGGGAGCGAGAGCCCACTGACGGCTCGCAGGACGCGCTCGACCAGCTGGTGGCGTGCGCGCGCTCCCTCACCGAGGACGTCAGGCGCGCCGCATCGTTCATACACGGCAACGCCTCGCTGCTGTTCAGGTAGCTAATCTTAACTACCATTGCCCGGTTCCTATCACTTTTTTTTTTTCTTATTTTAAAAAGCACTGCCCTCACTTTACGATAACATTATCCTGTGTTGTAAGGACGTTTTACAAACATAAATTCCACATGGACAAACAGCCAGATTGGAAACAACTGTCTGTGGGTCGCAACATTAGTTGTCCCGTGCGGGAATCAAACCCACGTCCGCCGACGCCGTAGCCAATACCTTGGCAATTGCGCCACGGAGTCATCAATCCTATATTCAACGAACGGTCGTTGATTACATAGCTTCATAACTTTCATGACGACTAGTAGATTAAAATAACGCTTCTAACTCACTCTCCGTAGGTAATGCAACGGCTCGTAAGGAAAATGCCTCATTTTGTTAATATAGGAACCGGGCGTACATGCCTTTTATCTACAAATTGTTATGAAAGTTACGAAGCTATGTAACTAACGGCCGTTCGTTGAATATAGGAACCGGGCATAAGTAAGACTAACAAACTTTTTAAACCAGTCAACCGTTGGTTTTTGTGATTGTACTCTATTTGATCTATCAAATCTAAACAATAACGGTGTTATTTATAAGAGGAGTTAAACGAGTAAGCGGTTCACATATCATTATCATAATCGGGGGGTTGCAGTTGCATCAATAGTTAGACCGGCCAGTTGTTCTCTTACTGGACGCAAGTGCAATCCGTCTACACGCGGTCTTCTTTAAAACTATGTAACTACCCCGGCCCGTGATCGCAAACAGTACAGGCATCAAGCAAACCGCGGTGATTCCCCATTAGCGGACTTGGCTGCTAATGTTGTGCGCGTGGTTGCGACTGTACACAACAAACGTACGGCTACAACACGCCCACAAACCACGGGGGTCGCCCATTGGCGGAATGGCTCCGTTTCGGAGGGCTGCCAATGTGTGTGTGCGGCGCAGGCGGTCCGCGGCGCCGGGCCACGAGTGGACGGAGGAGTACGACTACGTGAGGCTGGAGTCGCGCGCCGCGGTCGGGCGGCGGAACGCGGAGATCCGCGCCGCGCTGCCGGACAAGCTGCGCGCCTCCTTCGACGCGCTCGTCCGCGACGCTGACCACGCCGGCGAGGTGAGTGCCGGCTCGTGATGAGCGGAGATGGCAGTCTATAGAATTACATCGGTTGACGTGATTTGAGCGCCTCAGCTTCGCTGCGGCAGTGCCATATCTGTAATTGCTAAAAGCTTCAATGAAACTTCACCCAATCTAACATACCAAAAATTGTTTATATATGATATAAATTTTACACTCCGGTTGCTGGTAAGCCGCGGTAATTTCTTGTTGTTTAACAGCTGTAATGGATTTTATGGCAGCTAAGAAAATATAAATCGATTAAATTATCGAACGCTTTATTTTTATAACTATCGTGCACAAGAGATGATCCACTAAATCCTGGGTGCACGTGTACTTGGCCCTGATAGTTATAGGCAATAGGAAAGAACATATTAAAAATTACATCCAAATCACCGTTTACCATCTTATGAGGTGACGAAGAACGTATTTCGGTTAGTGCCGTTCCTAGATTTTATGGGTGCTTATTTGTTGCGCAGGTAAGCGCTGTGGCCGCGGCGACAAGGCTGCCGCCCGACGACCGGCAGCTAGCGGCCTTCTACGCGGCGCAAACGGCCACCTACGGCGCGCACCTGGCCACGGCCGTGGAGGCCTTCCTCAGGACCATAGAGATGGGCCAACCGCCGGACGTGTTCCTCGCGCACGGCAAGTTCGTCGTGTTGAGCGCGCACAGGATAGTCCACGTCGGGGACACCGTGCACAGGTACGTAAACGTTATATCAACTCCATCTGATGATGTGGATGTTCTGGAGTGGGGAACAACTAACGGCCGTAGTCAGTAAACGTTGATAAGCACTTAACCAACGAGAAGTAACCATTTTTGACTCAACTAATGATAGATAAGTGTTAATTGACGTTTATGCATGCAGCCGTAAGCCGTAAGGAAACTTAAGCAGTGCAGACTTTTAACACTTTGGTACATCCATCGAAGTAGCAATCGCTCCCATACTCCCATCGAACTCGCAATTTACAGAACACGCTCGAAACGGCTAAGAATATGCAATTTTTTAAATTTAGAACACGCTCCGCCTATTCCAGGAGCGGCGGGTGTAATTTGAATGTATAATTTTTTTAATTTTAGAACACGCTTCGCCCATTCCAGGAGCGCTCAGCACGCCAGTCTCAAAGCGAAGGCGTTGCGCTGCTCAGACGCGCTGTCGGACGCGCTGGCGGTCACCGTCGCGAAGACGAAGGCGGCCGCGCAACAGTTCCCCTGCGCGAGCGCCGTCGCCGAGATGGCGGAGGCGGCGCGGGAGCTCGCCGCCCGCGCTCAAGAATTGCGCCGGGCGTTGGTACGCGCGACCGAGCCCCCCTCCGCCGCCCCCGCGACCCCCACCGCCGCAGTGGCCCCCTCCGCGCCCGCAACGCCGCTCACGCCAATCGCGCCCGCACTGCCCGCATTGCATATATAACGGAAGCAAGCGGTAGAGGCGTAAATCGCTTGCGACAGCGAGCGCATTGCGACCTTCTTGCATTTACACCGTGCGACGGTTTGAGCGAAGCACAGCGCATTGAAGTTAGAATTAAGCTCGTGGGTTGTCGCACAAATGGAGTATTGAACACCAATAAAACGTTTCACGTCTGTTTTTGAGATGACGATCGGCGCTTTCCGTTGCTGCATTGAGCGAGTGCGTATAAGTGAAGATTACGCTTTGCTGTTTTTCGGCGGTTGTATAAACGACACGTCTGGAACGCTTCGGAAGTTTAAGTGTAAATAAGTGATCGGTGTCGGCTAGCTAGATAACTAATTATCAACCAGCCGTTAAGAGTTAGTGTACTAGCACGAAAACAAACAAAGAATGGCGACAATGATTGCAAAAACTGCCATAACTGAAACTGGTCGAAATGGTTATGCAACGTGTTGCACCGACATATCTAAATACACTGTCATAAAACGGCAAATAAGGCACTTGCTGTGAGACTAGATAATGTGTACTTATTTAATTTTAGTAAGAAGCAAACTTTGTCACTAAAATCTGTTTTAGTGTCAAAGTTGAGCTTGTGTTTAAAACAAAAGTTAGAATAGCTAAAAACAAGGGAGAAAGGTGAATTGTATCGTTATAATTCGCTTATGAGGATAAGTAAATAACCAAAGAAAACTGAGATAGGACATACAATACTTACACTAACGTAGACTGCCAATAACGACAAATACAATATGTAAAACAGAGTTTCTATTAAATGTTAGAAATAAATATACAAAATAAAACAAGGCTGCCATTTATTTAGTTTAAAAAGGTTTTTTGCCCAAGTAACATTGAAGCGAGATTTAAATTGCTGGATGCTCATTTGCCGTAGTGAGTTGAGTTATCCGTCCAGTTTTTTACAGTTTTTCAACATCATGGTATTTATAAATTGTGTACGTGTTTTGATGTAGGACTTTCATGCTTCCGAATATAACTTTACCAGGATTTATTGGGTAAAACAGCGTAGCTTCAACCATTCAATAACATACAAATAACGCAGAGGAAAAAGTTATTCCGCGCGTTTCCCCCTCGAAATTAAGACAATAATTGTTATTGAAAGTCACAAGCCTAAGTTCTGACTCAACATTTTGAATCAATAAAATAATAACTGCCAAGATCAGCAGTTTTTATACGTTCAAATTCTAATAGCAACAGTAATTAGAATTGTCAAATCAATTTATATTACAAAATGTTTCTGCCGCCTAAACCTATAACATTTGTGAACTTCTACAAACAAAATTGAGTGTCCAAAGGTTATGATCCCAAAAAATGACGAAACGGTAACACGTACCTACTTCATCGACATAATAATTGCTAACTTCAGCTTGTAAATATGTCTTAAGCACAACATTTACCTATACAAAGTTCTGATAACATTTACCTATTGGTTTACATTTTCTATATGTATTGATTTAATAACTACTCATCACCTACTTTATTTTGGAAAGCTGTCTGCCACATTAGTCAGAAAACAATATTTTTTTGAATAACATAGTCCTCTTGCGTGATTTATTTTATTAACTTTGGTCCCTTATTTAAATTTAAAACTAGAAATGCTTTATTTGAGAACCGTGAATTCTAAAATTTCTAAATTGCTCAATTATTTTATTTATAAAAAATATTTTATTTATTACATAATTGACATTACTCAAATTATTTGTCTATTGCTGGAGTCACACTCTGTTTAGATATAAAAATTGATAGCAAAATTCTTACTATCAATTCTGATTCCTATTTGTTTGAAACTTTCACTATCACTATATTTCTTAATAAGCATTATGTATTTAATTTAAGATAGCACATAAGATTTCAATGTAAAAACATGTTGTATATTAGCAATGTATAATATATTCTTAGATGTTGTAGCGAGTTAGGTAGGCATAGATGAAATTGTACAAATGCATATTATTACAAATAATAATTTTATTATAATGAGAATTATAATTTAATCAATCTTGTAAAACGCAATCAAATAAAATATACAAATTTTCGTATTTATACTTTGCCTATTATTCGCTGTCGTAATCGTAATAAAAAGATTTTCTCTTGTACCTTTGGCGTGCTCCAGTGGTTACGTATACCACAGAATACATCCATCATCCGAGTTCGTCAGTAACGAGGTTGTAAACATCTTTTTATTTATTCTTCAATGTATATACAACGATGATAACAAACCAATCACTCAAAATCAGACTACCATAGTTAAAATGTACTGGTGTCTTGGCTCTAACACTGCTATCTCTGGCAGCTGGTACTTTAGAATATTTATTAGTGTTACAAAAACACAGTTAATTATGGAAAATTTAATGTTCTATACGGAAATTTACAATATTTAATGTTATGTTCATTTTGTTCCTTCACTCTCTATGTTACATCTCTAATAATATTTACAAACCTATAGAAGCAGCACATACTATCGACAGAGATCGGAGAGTCGGATTGTAAGTACAGTCACAAAATGAAAACTTTTGAATTTTGAATGATTGCCAGGAAATGTGAAAATAAAGATGTTAGTACACATACTTTTTCGAATTTCATTTATATTTAAATATGGAGTGAAACGTAATAACGTAACGTAGTAGTTATTGCAACGTAGGTACCTATTGAATTAGAAAACAGAGCTGCGGTTATCGTGTTGCGTCGGTCTGCGTGCAGTTACGAGCCAAATCATATCCGAACTACAAAAAAAAGTTAATATAACCAAGGCCGCTGGGCCCAATTCGTTTATCACTTATCAAACGATATACTGATAATTTAAATGTAGAAGGCAGAAAAAGAAATGGTCGTCCTCACATTGTTAGGACTCCAGCAGTGATAAAAGCTGTGAAGGCGCGAATCCAAAGTTAACCCATGCGTAAGCAGGGAAGGCCAACAGCATTAAAGAAAAAGCAGATAAGGTTATCGCCCACAACAGTGAAGAAGCGAGGCTGTTTTGATCGTCACTCATAGACACTGGGAGTATCATATTCGGCCTTAACTAACGTATGTTTTTGTGAGAGGCCTAAAACGAATGAAGTTGTGTATCAAAATACAGTCGTCACAAAAACTTTCACCTCCTTGTGAAACCTTTTCATGTCATGTTAAAATTATTGAACAAAGAATTGTTCAACAACTTGTCGTGAACAAATTATCTATTAAGATCTATTAAGATTCCGCGCCGGCTTATATGGCAAAAATCACGCAAAACTGGCTGGCGGCGCGTGAATTTCACTTCATCCGACACGAATACGGGCCCTCCTACAGTCAAGACTTTAGATTATAGAATATAGCAACACTTGCAGGAAAAGGCCTGCTCAAAGCCTCATCCCGATGTTGAGTCACTCCAGGCATCCATCAACAAAGCAGATATTGAAAGTTTACCTTGTTTGTATTGCTATAAACTGGCCTCGCAGGTTTTCGGGTTGTATTGAAAATTGCAGAGGTCATTTTGATTAGGCTTAGCATAAGAATCTATATTTTAGTAAGTTCCTCGCCATTTCCTGAATAGTATTGACACTGAACTAATATAGTATATACAAAGGTCACCCAAGATCATATATACCTCCGGCAAGGGTTGCAATTTCATATCTGAGCAAGTAAGCATTATAGAAACCTAGCTTGATAAATGAAAAACTCCGAAGTCATAAATATATTAGAGATATAATATAAAGTACAAATTTTAGAATTATGTACTTTATTCCATGAAAGATAATGCCCCATCTCCAACTTTGTTCCTTATCGAGTTAGAGAACATTAAGGTTTGAACACAAGGATAGTAATAAAATTTTAATAAATAAAATAATTTTAATACTTAAGATAAAGAACAATTTTATTACAATGAATTTACGTTTCAAAAACAATCTCCATTTTATGCCACGTTCTAAGAAACACGATATTTCATTACTGCAAAGGCAGTATCAGGACACCCACAACAGGTTAACGGATAGTGGTTTGCACACAAAGATGTCTCAGACACACACTGCATTATATCTCAAGTATCATTGTACTTTTGTAAGTATTGCTGAGCGCGTGTTTACTCGAGCGTTAGAACACCCGCAACAGGTTCACAGATTGTGGTTTGCACACAAATATGTCGGACACACACTACATTACATCTCGAGTATGATTGTGCTGCTGTAAGTATTGCTAAGCGCGTGTTTCCACGACGTTAGGACACCCGCAACAGGTTCACAGATAGTGGTTTGCACGTAAATATGCTCGGACACAGGCTACATAACATCTCAAGTATGATTGTGCTGCTGCAAGTATTGCTGGGCGCGTGTTTCCTCGACTGTGTACTGCAACGCCGGGTGTTCGGAAGGCAATCTCAGTTCGGCCGCCACCGCGTCCAGACGCGCTGCCCTCAACCTCAGGATTCGCTCCAGTGCCAAGGCCTCGCGGGCCTCTGCCTCCGCCGCCATTGACGCCTCCAACCTTTTTCTCTCCATCTGTCAAACATTGAATAACTCATAAACAATAGGATCCCAAGCTGATTATAAGCCCAAACCATCTTCTGTGGTGAGGATGTGGTAGGGCCACGCAACAGCTTCTGTTGCACGAATGGGCAGCCTCGTCCGGGGAAGTACCACGGCCTCACGCCAGACCGGCGTGAAGTGAGAGTTTTTCGCGGCGTGAACTTTCGGGTTTCGTCTGGTGAGTGAGGTAACCGAGGCCCACATTTTTAAGTTTGTCAAGTTGTCTAATTCAAAACATATAATTTACTACATGAATGAGCAGTCAAACTACCACATCCTGACAGAAGACTGGATGAAGTAGAATAAGATACTTTTGCATTTTATTTGTGGATAGTGAGGTAGCTAGAGGTCTACATAGGTGGCGGGCGATAAAGACTTAATAACTTGCCAAAATTTATTTTAGTTCAGAATTTTAAGACAAAATCCGTGTTCCCTTATGGCAGTCATGTTGATTCCATGCAGCAAGCACCTTAACTCCTTAAACAGGGTGATTTTTCAGACAAAGTACATACTTTGACATAATGTTGATTGAGCATTCTATAATTCAAAAAAATAATAATATTTTACTTTGACAAGAAATAACCAGAAAAGTATCAATTCAAACATTATTTGTTTATCCCATTAAGAGCGGTCACCTTATTGATAAGCGGTTTAGTAATTATGCATTCAGTGAACAATTTTAGTACTGGTGGATAGGTTATTGTACTAAGACGGTAAGCAGGAATTTCTAATAGGGTGTCCATAATCTTTGAAAAAATCTATATGTATCAACCTGTATGTATATATTCTAGTTTATTAGATAGAACAAAAAGCTTTACATTTATGTTGAGTGAATAGTATGTGGATGTTACTCACAGCAATATTGCTATGGATCTGAATGAGCTTGCTTGCAGTAACATAATAATGTGTAAAGTGACTGAACTATGAAAGTAAAATGTTGCATGGTTACCTTGGCAGATTCCAGTTGGTAATTTAATAGTTTTAATTTTAAATTGACAACATCTTTACTTTCTGAGGGGCTCCAGGATCCGAAGTGGCTCATAGGCCCTGAAAAATAAATATTTTATTTGTTATTTAAGTTCATTAATTTTTTTTTTATTATACAATTTGAATTAATAATTTGAATAGACAGAAGATATCAAATATTTTAGAGAGTATGTTAATAATATTAAATAATAATGAGTTAGACTTGAATAATATATGGTTCAATAATGTTTAACAAAGGCAATGTGGCACACAAAGTAGTACATTGCAGTACTCCCAATGGTAAGTGATCACCATCATTTAAACACAAATAAGTATCTTGTATTTTCTGAGATTACGCTTTGAGTCCAGAGACTATATCACCTAAAGCTTCACCTAATACTTCGGTTTGCGAAAAGCTACTTTCTATGTAATAGTACTATTGTACTACTTCATGGGGATAGTTCATCTGTTAGGAAACAGGAAATTATCAATAATATGGAAATATTACTGGGCTTACATTACAAGACTAAGTGTAAATTTATAATATGCGCATTTCCATATTCCTCCTTCCTTACAGAGGAACAAAATAAAGACATATATAGTCTTAACATGACTATATATAATACAACTCACCGTCATAGTGACGCTTTCTTTTATTTTGACATAATAGTTTTATTAAGTCTAGTTTTAAGGTGACAAAAAATACTTGGTATTTACCATTATATTATAAGAAAATAATTGCTACTTTTTTTTGTATATTATATGCTTTTTTAGCATATAATACATGATTTAGCATATAGCATACAAAACCCAGTTGTACATTGTACAACTAAGAACATTTTACTTTAACATTTACAATAATTTTACAAAAAACAATGTTAGTTTAAACTAAACATTGAGACAACACCTAAGCCACTTAAATTAAATATTGTACACCAAAATATACAAGGCATAGGTGGCAAAGAACCTGAAATTGAGCCGTTTCTTAGAAGATTTAACATCCATGTCATCTGCTTCACAGAGACATGGTTACATAAGCATTTTAATATTATAGATATAGAGAACTATAAATTGTTAAGTTCGTTCGTAAGAGCAAATGCTATTCGCGGTGGCTCTCTTGTGTTAGTAAGAACTGATATAGTCTGTAAAAATCGACAGGATATAGTAGCACACTCTGTCGAACGTTCTATAGAATTATCCTGCGTTGAGAGTCAACAGTATATTATAGTATGCGTGTATCGACCCCCCTCAGGTGATTTCGATCTGTTTGAGTGTGTAATGGATGATGTACTTAAAAAACTCTGTTCAAGTAGTAAATCAGTAGTAGTTTGTGGAGATTTTAATGTGGATTTATTACAAGTGACACATCTTAGTAAACGACTTTTAAATTTATTTAGTTCATTTAAACTTAATAATCTTTTTCATGAACCAAGTCGTGTCACTAACTCATCCTCCACATGTATAGATAACGTTTTCTGCCACGATAATGTATATGATAAATATGTTATAAATTATCTGAGCTCTGACCACTTTGGTTTAAAATTTTCAATAAATGAAAAAGTTATTACAAGCAAACATAAGATCAAGTGTAGACCAGTCACTACTAATAGAATAGATTCTTTTAAAGTCAAAGTGGCACATCATATGTTAAATAAAGATATAGAAGTCAATAACCCTAATGATTCTTATAAATCAATGGTTGACTTTCTCATATCTTCTTATAATGATACATTTAAATCGCGCACAATTGTTAAAAATTCAAAATTAAAATTTAGTGACTGGGCAACAGTGAGTATATATAAAAGTAGGGATTCACTGTATGAATTATATAATATGAGGCAGTGGAATCATGACCCCAACTTTCATTAAAGGGTACAAATGTTCTCAAAAATATTTAAAAAAGTCTGTATTCAGGCAAAATCTATTCATATAAGAAATAGAATAATAAATTCAAACAATAAAATTAAAGCCACATGGGACATCATTACCCGTATATCTGGAAGACCCAAGATATTCAGGGAACCTATAAAACTGGTTATAGGTAATACTCCCATAACATCAGATAATGAAATTGCAAGTAGTTTTGAAAGCTATTTTTCAGAAATTGCAGTTAATGTCACATGTACATTAAAATCATCTCCCATAGATGCAATTAACGTTCTAAGAAATAATGTTACCTTTTGTCCACACACATTTAAATTTAATCACGTAGATACTTATGATATTATAAAAGTTTTGAATTCTATTAATCTTAAGAATACAGGGGATTTATGGGGCATGTCCATAAAATTAATGACCACAATAATGCCATACATTGCACCACGTTTAGCTAATATTTTTAACAACTGCATAGATTCTGGAATATTTCCAGATCTTATGAAATTTAGTAAGATAATCCCCGTCTTCAAAAGTGGGGATAAAAATGATCCAGGAAACTACAGACCTATTTCCATATTGCCATCTCTGAGTAAAATTTTTGAAAAACTAATTTTAAATCAGCTCTTAGTACATTTTAATATGAACAAAATTTTTCACAATGAGCAATATGGATTCACTAAAGGCAGATCGACAGCAGATGCGGGTATCGCACTTGTCAAACATATTTATAACGCCTGGGAAGGGTCGCAAGATGCAATAGGTGTTTTTTTTGCGACCTTTCAAAAGCTTTCGACTGCGTGGATCACAAAACCCTCCTTCTAAAGCTTGATTATTATGGCATTCGTAACATCGCCCTCAATCTCATTGCCTCTTACCTTAGTAATAGAATTCAAAAAGTATCTATAAATGATGTAAATTCTGCAGGGTCCCCCATGAAAATGGGTGTCCCACAAGGATCAATCTTGGGCCCATTATTATTCTTAGTATATATAAATGATCTCGCCTTTTATGCCAGTGAGTTATGTGATGTTGTACTGTTTGCTGACGACACATCGCTTATTTTTAAGGTTGACCGAAATGTATCGAATTATGACGACGTGAATAGTGCACTTTCGCGTATCCTCCACTGGTTTACCATTAATAATATGGTGTTAAATGCTAAAAAAACTAAATGCCTTCTTTTTGCCCTTCCCAATGTAAGAAGGCAAAGTTTTAGCTTGAAATTGAATAGCGTAACCCTTAATCCTGTTGAGTTCGCTGTATTCTTGGGAATCACAGTAGATTCAAAGCTCCAATTGAGTCCCCATCTATCATCTCTTGCGAATAGGTTAAGCTCCGCTGTTTTTGCAATTAGGAAGGTGAGGCAGCTATCAGACATCGACACTGCCAGACTTGTTTACTACAGTTATTTTCACAGCATCTTGTCGTACGGCATTTTGTTGTGGGGTAGTGCATCTGATATAAATTCAATATTTATTATTCAAAAAAGAGCTGTCCGAGCAATTTATAACATCGGAGCCCGGAATACACTCAGAGATCTTTTTAAAGAGATTAATATACTCACTGTTGCGTCTCAATATATTTATTGTAATATTTTGTATGTTAAACAGAATATTAATAATTATCAAAAGAATAGTGACAGACATAAACTAAATACTAGAAATAAGGACAAACTAACTACGCCATTATTTCGCCTACAAAAAGTAAACAGGTCGTTCATGGGGCAAAGTGTGCGCATTTATAATAAAATCCCACAGTCGATATTAAGTCTGCCACTTGATGAATTTAAACGAAAAATTAAAAGTAAACTTATGGCTAAAGCCTATTATACTATTGCCGAATATCTTGACGACGCCAATGTGTGGGGTGTAATACTGTTGATACTCACGTAGGCTAAAACAAGACTATTGTACCTGTACTATTATATTGTAAACTGATTTTTTTTATTTTTTTTTAAAAAGAGCAACTGTTGAGTTTCTTGCCGGTTTCTTCTCAACAGAAACTGTTTTCCGAACCGGTGGTAACTTACGAACGTGTTAATTTCTTGTAAAATTTTGACGTTTCATAAGAACGCGCAAGCGTCTATGTGAATAAAGATATTTTATTATTATTATTATTATTATATGAGATGGATGCACGTTAAGCTAATAGAATCGCGGATGTCTGTGTATGAGCTGGTTAGGTGGTTGTTATTGGTAGACATTTCAATGCCATAATAATTTAACAGTAGAAAGTATAATTGATAATTATAACTTTTATTTTAATTATTTATTTATTTAATAGTTAATTAACATATGTTATAACTTGCAATAAATTTAACTAACTGGCTTCTACCTGACGAAACTTTTCAATCAAGCACCTTTACTATTCGTATGATGGACCCGTGAAAAAGCTCAGTATCCGGGCGCTCGCCTTATATAAAATTTACTCGAAAAACCTGAGTTGGACCCGGTGCCGGCACTAATGAAATTGTTAATTTTAAGTACATATCACCTGCTCAGCGGTAAAGGAAAACATCGTGAGGAAACCTACATATTTTCGAAATAATAACAAAGAAAATATTTCAAAGATATATATATCTTCGAAATATTTTCGAAGCCGCCTACCCGCAGAGGGGCCGCGTGGTGGACTATGCCCTGATACCCTCTGTACAGAGGAGGCTCTGTAAAGCCTGTATATATCCCAGCAGTGCGACATATAGGCTGTTACTATACTATAATATTATTTTGTACGGTCTGAATTTTTTTTGTACTTTGTCAACTTGTGCAAAATACTTGCAAGCATTTGATATTATACGTCGTATGCAGGCCATCTACAGAAAGAACTTCTGTCCTAAAGGAATGTTGCTCTAAGGCTATTACATTATGATATTTCCTGCCAATAAATATTGCTCATATGATACTTACCTAATTCACTCTCTCCATTCAGCACTGCATCGAGAGGGTCCAGGTTCAAATTATTATTTTTGTTTGAATCATTGTGGTCATCAGAGTCTATTTCTTCATTGTCTATTTCAACATCTATGTCAGTCTTACATTCATAAACAGGCTCTATCTTTATTTCCTGAAACATTTTGATTAGTTTAAGTAGATAACTTGCTTTTAATACTTTATAATGGCATAGAAGAATATTAATTGAAAATAAAGTACATTCTATTAATCTTTACCTTTATCATACATCATTAAAAAAAAGACTTAAAATACTCAAGTTCAAACTGAGGAAATAACACATACAACTGTCTTTATATTAGAGATAATTAAAATTTCAATAATTTAAAAAACTATATGTACGTTATTTACCTTATTAGTGTCACCTAGCCTTTCATGGCCATTGCTTGGAAGATAATGTTGCAAGTTAACTGATTTTGCCAACCTTTTCATATTAGTAAACTTTGTACGCAAAACTTTGGTTGTTCTTTTTTGTGGGCTTTGTTTATTGAATGAATCAGTTATCTATATTAGAATCAAAAATATATGTACATTATTATTAAGGATGTAGATATGTAATATTAAAGAAATTGATGCCCAGTTTTCAAAAGGTCAATCAAAGCAGTAATCACATAACACTATGTTAAATATGTTGAATTCTTGTTTTTGCAACTGCCTTAGGTTTTTGAAAGGTTCATTCAAGAAAAATTAGATAATCACTCTTTAATGAAATGAATGATTTAGGTCAATAATTTTTTTTTTCTCTTTCTATTGTAATTTTCTTTTCAAAAAATTAAATAATGTCACTGCGGTGTGCCACAATATCAAGTAAATATCCCATTATTTCAATATCGCTTCAATTGGTCATTTGTGGGGTAATAATTTAAAAAAAAAATATGAAAGTAATCCCTTATTGATGGCTTGCAGGTGACATTCGTTCTATTTAAAATAACGTTATGAGCACATGCGTGTTCCTACCCATACACGGAGGGCCAGATGTTTATTTGGATATGTTATATTATTATAATAATTATTAACGCTTAAGCTCATTCAAATAGCAAGTTTTGAAATAATATAAAAATAAAACAGGGATTTTATTTAAAAGAAATTTTTCACCAACAATTGATCGGCCAAATACACAGATTAACTAATTTTGACAGCTTGTTAATTAAGAAAAACACTGAGAAAGTTTTTCTGAAACGATTTTCTGATGAACCTTTAATCAGAAATTACCCAAGCCCGTGGGTTCTGGCTAGCCCACCGGTTGTGTCAGATGAAGCTTTAATAGTCTCCGGACTGAAAGCAAAAACATCAGTTAATACAAGATACAAGATCAGACATTATTTGCAAATCAAAATCAATGGTGTTTTCAGGTGCTATAGCAACTCAACTCATGTTACAAAACAATTAACAAGAGATTATTTGTGATTTAAAATTGATTGACCTTTTGGAAACTGAGTGTAAATTGTTAATTCCAATCTTGGTTTAATTACCCTTCTCCAAGCACTGTTCTTTAAAGTATTTGCTTTGCCAGTAGTTACCTTACAGAAAACATCTTTTTTTTCTGCTCTTACACACTTTAACAGAAGGCGACACTCTTGAGGAGAAAAGTTTAATGACCTATTTGACCTGGAATTTAAGAACAGCTTTTAACAGCTTAGATTATGTTGCAAAAAAAATATTTGAATATATAAAATCTATCCATGTTTAGTAAAACATGCACCACAGTATGTAATATAGTTACTAGCCAATGAGTTTATAAGAAGATCCTGAGTTTCTTTTTACTTTGAAACTTATTAATTTTTTACTGACCACAACTTAAAATATGTTAGTTTAACATAATTAAATTACCTTCCAGTGGCATTTTCTTCATCTGGAAAAAATTTGCAGATTAAAATAACCACTTTTTTACTAACGAAAAACAAAACCAACTTCAAATATCTCGCTGAATTCATTTTATAAGTGATTTTAAGGAGTTCCCTAAGTATCTCCGGACCCCAAGATCCAATACCAATGAAATTAATACGAAACCACATAGGAAGCACCAGCTTTCAAATAAAAAAGAATCATCAAAATTGATTCACTCAGTCAAAAGTACTGGTAAGGTAACAAACATAAAAAAAAATACAGTTGAATTGAGAACATCCTCCTTTTGAAGTCAGTTAAAAATTAATAAAAGATTTATAGATACATTTAAAACTATTCACCTGATTCCTCCGATTGCTTATTGTCACATTCATCCCAATACCCACAATATATGTTTGCTAGTTCTTTTTCACCTGTTCATGTGAAAAATGAGAAAAATATGTTAATACAAATAATAACAAAAGCAAATCAATTAATTTTCTTCTCATTAACAAATAAGAATGTACCGTTTGAATCACTATCAATACCAGGTTTGTTATCAAGTACATTGCTGTCTTTTTCTGCTTCACATAACATAGTAACAACTTGACTAGTCAGGTCATTAATTTCAGTATATCGGACATCTATTAAATTTTTGGACAATTTCCTTGCTTCCCTTTTTAAATTTTCCCATTTTGTTTTTAAAGTATCAGCGCTCCTTGAATATTTAAATCCTTGACTATTAAACATTTTAGCTATTGTGTTCCATGCTGCTTCTTTGGAGTGACTTGCAGCTGCGGACGTCGATTTATTTAGAATAATGCTTTTATATTTCTCTATAATATTAACCAGAGCTTTTGTTTCCTCTTTGCTAAATGTGGGGCTCCTATGGCTAAGAAATTTAAATGTATTTAAAAATTGATCTCGAATTAAAACTATGTGTTTCCTTTCGAATACACTCACGCAGTGGTTAAGCCAGATTTATCTTCTTTGTACTCTTCATCCATCATCGAAAGTACGTACTTAATTTAATAGCGGGTAAAATTAAAACGTTTGACACATTGGTTAATAGGTTTTTTCGCTTGAGTTTCTTTCGGTGATTGATAATGACGCCCGTGTTCTGTATTCTGTTGACTGTTCTGATAGAAATTACGATACAAATCGTATTTAGATATGAAAACTATATATTGGTACAATATCCCAAAATCGCTTACTAACTCGTTCAAAATGTATTTAAATTACAATATCTGATATACCCCATGTACCGAATACTCGCTCACTCGCTATACCGTTACCGACACGAATCGCAAATTGCGATATCAATATCGTAATTAATCGTACGCTTCGGTCGCTAGCGTTGCGAACGACAAAGCGCGTGAGATACAAATAATAAATTAATGGAAGTGGTAAGTCAAGCAATGCACAATATCAGATTTTTAAACAGATTTTATGAATAAATAAACTAATATTGAATCTTAACAGGATGTAAAAAAAGTTCTATTTAAAAAGTTATTTTTAATACAGTTGGTCAAAAAGTGGCGTATTGCAGGGACGTACAGCGTTCGGGAAGTAGTTTTTTTTTTTTTTTTTTTTATTATTATTGTGGCATTTTGTTATCCTTTATGCCAATGACAAGTAAAAGGAAGGAAACAGTGGTTTTGTTGAAATATAAATTTATTTCAACAGGACTAGGAAGCGGAATTTGGAAAAAGGAAAATAATCAAGAAGATTTACGATACATATATTCAATGTGATAAAGTATTATTAATTACAGAATATTTAGTTTTATTAATATCGTATTTACACAAATACACATAATATATATACATATATACACACATATATATATACCCATATATACACACAAACATACGCATACATTTATATATATAAACCTATTAACCAAATTATACTATAGTTTTATAGCATTTTTCTGAATAAATGAAGCTAATGTTTTATATACACAAGGGTCGTTATATGCTAAAAGGAATGGTATATTAATAGGAAAAGGTATCCGGAGCAATAGAAGATCAGTAAAAAGAGAGGAGCGGTCATATAATGGACAAGAAAGGAAAATATGGTTCAAATTTCCTTCTTCCGTTCCACAAGCACATAAAGAAGTATCTACAACATGAATCTTAAACAGAAAAGACGGAGAACAGCAGTGACCTAATCGCAAACGAATTAAAGAACTAGTACAATATTTATTTAAATTGACTTGAGTGTACCAAGGCTTATTTGGAATTGTCGGTTGAATTGAGGAGTAGAATTTTCCTTTCACTAAGCTAGGAGATGTCCAGTAATGTTCCCAGGACTCTTTCAAATATCGCTTCGACAAGGAAAGAAGATCGTAACAATAATTAGTGTAAGGATATATATCACCGCTTAACACGGCTTCATTTGCTAACTCGTCTGCCTTTTCATTTCCTTTAATGCCGCTATGCCCGGGAATCCATGCAAAAACTACTGTAATGTTTTTAACTTGGCATTTGTATAACAATTTTCTTATTTCTAAAATTATAGGATATTGGCATTTTGATTTAAGCGGAAAATGTGCTAATGTTTGTAAAGAACTTAGAGAGTCCGTAAAAATTATAGCTTTACATAAGTTTGTTAATAATATATATTCTACTGCGCGAAATAGACCAAAACATTCCCCAGTAAATACTGATGATTCGGGAGGTAATTTAATTTTTTGTACAATATTATACTGAGAATGAAATACTCCAACCCCAACACAACTATTATTGGTATGTTTAGAAGCATCACTATATATATAGTGCCAATTCTCCCAGTTATTTTCAATAATGAATTTAAAAGCTGTATGAATTTCTATTTCATCTTTTTTTATTCCAACATTGAGTTTTATGGAGGGTGTAAGAGTCAAGATTTTATAATCGGTTTCAAACAGTGGAAGAGTCTAAATTTGAAATAAAAGAGTATATAATACCATCCTCCCCAGGGGCAGAATCCTTAAGATATGATAATATGCCTTTTAATTCTGACATAGAAAACTGCGAGGCTAATTCGGAGGGATCGCTTAAATTACACTCTAAATTTGAGTGGCGAAATTCTGGAGCATAAGGCGGGGCAAGTCGGTCTGTAAAATCTTCAGCAAGATCTATTGGAAGAGATATTGAGGGAGAACTAATTTTACTACATCTGAATCGTCTGATATTTTGCCAGAGAACTGAAGGATTAGTATTAGGAGAGATCGATGAACAGTATTTTTTCGACCCTTCGATTTTCTTCATCTTTAAAATTTTGTGTGTGTTGGTACTTATAACTTGAAAACTTTCAAAATTTTCTGATGTCATAGATGAACAATATTGTCTTTCTGCAGTCTTTCTTTTTTAACAGCTTCAGAGCATTCTTTATCCCACCATGGCGGGGGTGAAGCTTTTTGGTAGGTATTTTCTTTTAAAGGAAAAGCTTGTTCCGCAGCGTTATTAAGAAAATTTACAAAAGCATTATAGGAGTCAATTTCATAAAATTTTTGGACATCTGGCAAGGTAGAAACGTTCTGTAGTGTGTTGCTTTTGTAAGTATGCCAGCCTTTAATACTTAATCTGTATTTCATACGTGATCGCGGAACTTTTTGATTTGGAAGGTTATAGAAAGGAAACAAAATAATTATTGGAAAATGATCACTGCCATAAGTAGAAGACAAAATGTCCCACTCTAGAACAGAAGAAAGATTGGGAGTACATATAGATAAATCTACAGCACTCACACTCTCATTCGGTTCTGTACGTCTTGTCGGCTTTGAAGTATTTAGAACACATAAATTATGATGATCAAGTATATCTAACATTAGATCTCCATTAGGATTAGAAAAAGAGCTACCCCAGGATTGATGATGACAGTTAAAATCACCCATAACCAAAAATGGCTTTTTCAGTGAAGATAAGAGATGATTAACTTCATTTAAAACTTGTTGAGATGGGTGAGGAACATAAATAGATACATAACAAACATTATTGTATGAAATCGCAATTGCCGAAAAGTTATCAGAGTGTGGAGGCAGTGGAACATACGTGAAAATAACAGTTTTTTTAATTAAGATTGCTACACCACCATATCCATCCAATCTGTCTTTTCTATGGCAAATGTATCCTTGCATATTAAATGATAAATTTGGCCGCAGCCAAGTCTCCGAAAGAGAGATAAGGAAAGGATTAAATTTGTTAATCAAATATATCAATTCACTTTTTTTATTAACTATGCTCCTGCAATTCCATTGTATAACTTTGGCTTGATTGTCCATTGTTAAGAATTTGTTTAAGAATATCAAATGTTTGAGCAACGTTGTTCGGTGAAATTATTTTACTTAGTAACAAAGAATTAATTAAAGGAATTACAACATCTGTAAATATGTCTTGTTTTTCATTCCCATTGGGTGTTAATGCACATCCGTTAGACGACATTGGGATTTCAAAGTCCTTAATTAGAGCTTGATGAGCTGCTTTGTCATAGCCTTTGTTGAAATGGGGAAGAGGTCGAGTTTTTAAAGAAACTGTCTTTTTATATGAGTTTTTCAATGGTTGGTTAATATGTGATGACAAAGAATGTTGTGGCCTCATAGACTCAGCTGAATATGTGCTAGAGGGAACAGATTTAAGAATGTCAACATAAGACTTAGTGACAGGGGGGAGCATTTTGGAAGCTTCTGCATATGAGATGCAGTTTTGTGCCATGGTCAATTTTATTTGTTTTTGTCTAGCCCATTCAGGACATGATTTGCTAATAGCAAAATGTGACCCAGAACAAAGGAAACAGAAAGCACAGTCATCATCTTTATTGCAAGAGTCACTTGTATGAACATCTCCACACTTAAAGCAGCGTGGTTTGGACCTACATTGAATTTTAGTGTGACCATATCGACAGCAGTTGTAACATTGTATAGTAGGATATGTGTAAAGTTCGACAGATAAAGCATTATAGCACATATAAATGTGTTTTGGAAGAACCTGACCATCAAATGTTATAACTACTGTCTGTGAAGGTTTCCAAACTGGAGACCCATCAACAGTTGTTTTATAATTTAATCGTCTTATTTTTAAAATTTCACCACAACCCATTGGCACAGTTATGTTATTTTTAATTTCATCTGGGGACCATTCAGCTGGCACTCCTCTTACAATACCCATCCTAGTTATGTTGAAGGTTGGAATAAAGGCTTTTAATTTCTGTGTAGACAAAGAAGGATGATTAATAAAAGTGTTAGCATCAGTAAAATTGGAAAATGCAAGGGAAATCTTGTTCCTACCAATTTTTTTTATACTGCCATTGATGATATTCCTAAATGCATTTTTTTTTAGAAAATTGCCAAAGGACACAGGGTGGAATGAAGTACCATCATTAAATGAAGATACTTCTTTTTGAACATGTATAATATAAGGTGATAAGTCACTGTTTTGGTAAATCTTTCTATATTCGACACTAAGTTGCTCGGGCTCTTTTGATTCTGTTGTTACTGGTGATGCAACATTATTTAGAATGGTGCTGTTCTCATCACTATCGCAATGACAGGCATGCTTAGTTTGGTCATTCTTAGTACCAGAATGACTGCTCCTCCTTTTTTTATTGCAATGTTTGCAAATTTTCTGCAAACGTGAGCGTTTTCTAATGATAAGAGTATTCGACGCATCAGTGTCCATACAAGACTCGCCATTAGAAACTTCTACATTGTACGCAACCTCGGGGACTCCACCCCCGGGATCAGGGGGTTCATTCATTATAATAAAATATATAAAACTTACCTAGGTATAGAAATTAAACTATTACTATTAATAATTAACTACACAAAGTAAAAAAATTACATATATACACAAAACTTCTCTGATTATTATCACTAAAATTAAATAAATGTGATTTAGAGAAAAAAACGCGCGCTTAGCTTTCAAAGTTTCCCGCCCTTTTTCAGGGAAGTAGTTATTACACATTCGCGTTTTTTCTTTACCTTTTCCGAACTCATGCGTTCTCTTTCCCAACTGTCAAAATAATGTCTGTTAAAAGGAAAAAACCAACCAAAAGGTTTTTACAAAAAAAAAATTCATAGAAGTTTTTATGATTCATGCAAATATTCCTAAAAAGAAGCTACTAATTTGTTTCAATATCAGATTTAATGATTTGATTCAATGAGTTAGGTTATGTTTCATTTCATTTCATCTCATTAAATTTCATATCAATAAAAAAATCTACTAAAGACTCTATCAGGAAGTAATTGACCAGAAATAGTAAGCACTACAGAGGTAGATGGGGCCCAAGAAACCTTGTCATCTGTTCGTAATGTGAAATCTAGGAACAGATGCTGTAAAGGTATTTACTTGTAAGAAATCATTTTATAAAAAGTTATTAGCTTCTAAATATGATTTAAACTCTATTAGGACTCTGTTTCTCCCCCGTGATTTAATGCCTCCTTCTGTAATTCCCGATACATTGAAATTAATTTAGAAGCTGGGCAAATTTGAGTAAGCGAATTGACTGCCCAGAAGACATGTCAGGAGTGGTTCTAGTGACGTAGACTATGCAAGAAGACGTATCACAATTAATATTCAAGTTTTGAATCAATTTCGTAACCCTGTTACCTTAGGGGTAGTTTTTACAGCCGGGCGTTTTCGGTTAATGTGACTTTCAGGTTTTAAGTTAGTAGTAGTAGGAGTTTGGACGATAACATTAGAAACATGCTTTTCCATCATAATATCGGGAGGGCGTCCATCACGCCTATTCGGAGGTTTATCCTCATCCATTTCCCTTACTAAAAACGGAAATGGATGCTCGTAAAGATAAAAGAAAAAAATACTCACCAATACCACAAAAACCACCACCAAACACTTACAAAACAAACAAGTTTAGGTATTCAAAAGTAATGAATCTTATCCTTTAAACGAGCAATTCTTGTATATATATATAATCGGAATCTCGGAAACGGCTTCAGCGATTTTCATGAAATTTAGTATGTGCGTAGATTCGGGTGCGAAAAATTGATCTAGCTAGGTTTCATTTTTAGAAAATGTCCTTTTATCCCTGTTTTCAGGGAATGAAAAATATCATTTTAATATGACGGTAAATTTCGCCGCAAAAGAAAATGTTATAATAGCTCGGTCGGTAATCGGGCGGCCCCAAAACAGTCGGCCGTGGTTCGTATCACGATCATTTAGTCTTTTTTTTACTTTTTTTTTCGATTCCAGATCATTGCTTTCTTTATTTTTAATTTTTTTGTCGATTTGTTATTTTGTTACTTTTTTCCCTTTTTTTTTAAAGTTGTTCTTTTGTGAAAAACGCCACTTCATATTTTCTTATTATTAAAGTCAAAGTCAAAGTCAAATATCTTTATTCAATATAGAAGCATTCACTTACTTATTGATAGTCAAAAAACTCTACCACCGGTAGTTTTTATTAGGTCGGTAAGATCGAAAAATATTACGCATATTCCATTACTCAATTTGTATCTAAATGTAATTTCCAAAACACACGATTTACCAAAAAAAAAACAAACCGAGCAAAGCTCGGTCCTCCGGGTACTATAAGATAAAATCGCAAAACCACTCGACAACGTGTTTACATCAACACTTTGACAATTATACAAGCAGCTTTACTTTGATATATAAATAATAAATGTACGTTATGAACGTAAAAACGTATCAGGATCATACCTGTTTACACCTGGCTGCGAAGAGGTGCGGCCAAGTGCGCAATGGCAGCCGTGATTTTTCAGTCTTTATGTATATTGCCGTGAAGTTTCCATATTTTATTCAAGAAATAAGTGAATGAAATCTTTTTCCCGAAAGTCAAATAAAAATATTTTAATTAAAAATATTAGCGGCCACATTTTTTTTTAGGTATTGCTAATAGCGGTAGGGAATGAAGGGCCTCTGCTTTCAAACTTAATGCCAACCGCCAGTAGGCTGTGTGCGATGGCTCGATCTTTTAGTAGAGCGTCCCATGTGGTTTGGCATTGTTTTGATACGCGATCTTTGACTTCTAGATGAAGGCATCGAAGTCACAAATTATTACCAGTAAATGTACCTATTAATATAGTGTATATTATATGATCATAGTTGGCGGGAATAAAAAAACTAATAAATAGATTATGTAGTAAACGTTAAGATTCCAAACTGCAAAAATCGATAGCTATAGCAAAATGGTATATAGAAACTGTAATATACATATACAAATATACATATTACAGTTTCTGCCATTTTGGAGTGACAATAATACTTCCTTCATGTTTTATTTGCGTTTACTGGTTTGGGCTAGAGATGCCGCAAAACTATCGATACTTTTTTAAAAATATATCGACACTTTAAGCCGATATATTTGGTTCTGATATATCGATATCTGATACTCGCTGGGAAGACGAAATAATTAAGACCGCTGGCTCAAACTGGAGTCAAATAGCTCAGAGTCGACACCAATGGGAATCTTTGGAGGAGGCCTTCACCCAATCTGGGGTTCTTGCAGACGAAGGACAGAAGTTAAAAAAAATAATAATAATAATAATAAAGCCTCTCCGGACATCTGAGGTGACTGGGACTCCGGAACGGAGCGCTCCAAGCTCTAATGCAGAAAGCGGTGCTCCTCGATACCGCCCGCATCGTCCGCCGGTTTCTCTCCCTTTCACCCTAACCCTCCGTTTGGTCTCCCTTACCGAGGGCTTCCGTCTGGTTGGGTCCTATTTATATATGTATTATATACAATATTTTTATCTATATGTTTATTTTTATCCATAAAATTTATTTTATATATGCAATATATATCTATATTTTTATTTTTATTTATAAACCCAACCAGACGAGAAAACAAATGAATATCCCCCCATAATAATAATAATTGCCATTTTAATTAACAGCCATTTGTCAGGCGTGAACAAGGCACGCGCATTTAACGGCTGGGTCATGCCAGTCCTCATGTTACCTTTGTCATACTCAGGTGGACTCAAACTGAGCTCAATGCCCTGGACCGAAAAGTCCGCACAACTATGACGTCCCACAGGATGCATCATCCGAGATCGTCAGTGATGAGGCTGTACCTGCCGCGGAAGCATGGCGGGAGGGGCTTTTTGAGCGCCCTTACCATGCACAATCGCGAGGTGTGCAGCCTCCGTAACTACTTCCTGGCGAGATCGGATGATTCAATCTACACAGACGTCATTAGTTGTGATAAAGGACTTACCCCTCTATCCTTAACCAACGAGCAATGGCAGGACCCGGGAGTACTGAGCGTTTCCGACCGGGAGGCCGTATGGAAGGAGAAAGAGCTCCACGGGAGGTTCTACAAGGCCCTACACGAGCCTTTCGTAGATACTACTGCCTCCCTCAACTGGCTACGTTTCGGTGACCTCTTTGGGGAAACCGAAGGTTTTGTCTGTGCGATACAGGATCAGGTTATTAAGACGAACAACTATCGGAAATACATCCTAAGGGATGGCATCGTCGACATCTGTCGAGCTTGTCGCCATCCCGGGGAGTCGCTTCGGCATCTTATTTCCGGTTGTTCCATGCTTTCTAACTCTGAGTATCTGCATAGACACAACCTAGTAGCCAGAATCCTACACCAGGAGCTCGCTCTGAAATACGGCCTCGTGGATCGGAAACTGCCGTACTATAAGTACTCTCCGGAGGCCGTGCTCGAAAATGACCGCGCCAGGCTCTATTGGGACCGGCCCATCATCACGGACAGGACGATTGTCGCGAACAAACCTGACATCGTGGTGACGGACCGGGCACAGTCACGGGTATTTTTGGTCGACATTACCATTCCATATGACGAGAACCTCGTGAAAGCCGAAACAGATAAGAAGACGAAATATCTGGACCTGGCTCACGAGGTGACCGACATGTGGGGTGGTGTGCCGACCGAAATTATCCCGATAGTCGTGTCTGCGAATGGGTTAATCCCAGTCAGCCTCTCCAAACATCTGAGGCGACTGGGACGCCGGGACGGATCGCTCCAAGCTCAAATGCAGAAGGCGGTGCTCCTCGATACCGCCTGCATCGTCCGCCGGTTTCTCATCCCTATCGCCCTAACCCTCGGCCGTTTGGTCTCCCCTGCCGAGGGCTTCCGTCTGGTTGGGTCCTATTTATATATGTATTATATACAACATTATATGCATATGTTAATTTTTATTCATAATATTTATTTTATATATGCAATATGTATCTATATTTTTATTTTTATTTATAAACCCAACCAGACGAGAAAACAAATGAATATCACCCCATAATAATTGTATATTTGCTATATAATGATGTATAATTGCAAGAAATTAAAGGTTTTTTATTTTATTTTTATTTTATATCGATATCGAAAATATGCAGGTTTCCTCACGACGTTTACCCTTACCACTGAACACGTGATAAGTCAGCACTTAAAAGTTAAAATTCAATTACAATTACATCGATGCCGGCACCGGGAAATGAACGCAGGTTGCTCGAGTATATTGAAATAAAAGCGAGCGACAATGAAGCTATTGCGGCAATAATTAAATTAATAATTTTATACATTATTGATAATGGCAATTCCAGTTTATAAAAAGAGAAAGAGAGGAAAGAATGAACTGTCACAATAGAAAGAATGATAAATTCGAATATATAGGTTATGTACCTTTGTAGTAACGTAAAGCAAAACATTTCAGGAGGGGAGGGACAAAAACGGACCGATTAATTATAAACATCGTTACGTAGAAGATAGAAGTATTAAAGTAAAAATATATATTAATTATTATGATTTCATAACTTTCTTGCAATCTCTTATAACATACGAGTGCCAAAATGGCGCTGCTCGTTACATTTCATTAACGCACTGCCTAGTAAACGTAATTTTTAATACCTATCATTATCATGCTTTGTTTTCATTGAACCTCACATAATACTCATCAAACAAGAAGTAGTTTTGTTAACGCATTTCGCATTAACTCCTTGTTAATGTTTGTATTAACCTTTTAGATAGTATGAAGGAAGTGATTTTAGCTATAATAACCTTTGTATGTAGCATATTTTTAGTTTTTGCATTTGTTTTATTTTGTAAGTAGAATTTTGTTTGTTTTAAATATGAACAATCACAGAATGTGAATATAGTAAGTTACAGGTATCTTTTTGTTCATTTTTGTCTTTGTTTTAGGTTGGTACATTGTGTGGAAATGTTGTTTGTCTAAATTTCGATTTGTGCGCGAGCTCCTTGGGGGTATGTCTGATACTCCCCCAGCATCAGAGACAAGGCAGCTTAATAAAGTTAAAAAAATTAGAAGGGAATAAAAGCAATAACAGTCCTATTTTATATTTTTGAACATTATTATAATTATTTTGAAAGAGGAATTATTACACAGGTCAATATGAATATTCGCTGTGCAAGACCAAGTGACTTGATGAATATGCAGCACTGTAATTTGTTGTGTCTGCCAGAAAATTATCAAATGAAATATTACTTTTATCATGGTTTGTCATGGCCTCAGTTGAGCTATGTTGCAGAAGATGAGAAAGGGCATATTGTTGGTAAGTTATCCTAAAAAAATCACCTAACATGTTACTTTTATGGTAGATGAAAAATTTGTATTCATCATTTTATTTATATTCTCAGGGTATGTTCTTGCTAAAATGGAGGAGGATGGAGAAGATAATCGTCATGGTCATATCACATCCTTAGCAGTTAAGAGATCACATCGCCGTCTTGGCCTTGCACAGAAACTAATGAATCAAGCTTCTCTTGCTATGGTTGAGTGTTTCCAGGTACAATTTCTAAAGTTCACTTAATTTTTATATACATTAGGTGTGGCCATTTTGTGTTTTTTTTTTAATTATTGAAATGTATAGTCAACACATAAAAAAATGTTACCTATTCTTATTGAAATAATATTTTGTTATTTTATCAAATGAAGTCCCTCAAAGCCAATGAAATTGGTATAAATATTTCTTTTTTTATTTTTCCCATTTTTTTTTATTAGTGTTGGCTAATATTGCTTCTGAAAAAGTGATAAAGTACTAAAAATTCATATAATTGTATGTTGTTAATTGCTATACAGAATATAGAAAGATACTATACATTATATTAAATAAAGTTACTTCCTGCTGTTTCAACTGCATGCTTGGATCTTTTAAACTATGCAACAGATTGAAATATGGTTTTCATAATTAAATAGTGATTCAAGAGGAATATTTCTTTCTTCAAAAATGCTGTCTTATCTGTTTGAAATATAATAAAATAGTGTATGATGGAATTGTTTTTATTAGGACTACAAAAAGTCAGCGATTGCATAAGTCTATATAATAGGGATAGATATTAGTCTTTAAAAATTAAATGTTTTAGTTACAAGACAATTTAAATTAATATCTTGTTAAATATTATATATTTTTAGACTAAAAATTGTACTGACCATTTTCTTTAATTTCAGGCAAAGTATGTTTCTTTGCATGTAAGGAAGAGCAATAGAGCAGCACTAAATCTCTACACAAATTCATTGGGATTTAAAATTTTGGAGATTGAACCAAAGTACTATGCAGATGGTGAAGATGCCTATTCCATGATGAGAGATCTAAGTGCTTTCTCAGCAGACAATAAAATTGAACCAACAGATAACTTGGAAATAAAATCTGAATCTGCAATTGTGTCACAGTGTTAAGAGGTGTTCTTAGTAAAGCATTTGTCAATATTTCAATGTGTTTGTAACTGAACTAACATCTTTAATCTTCTGCAGGAAAAAAAATTTCAAGTAAATATTGGACCCTATTTGTTGTTCAGTCAAGCCATTCAAACCTTAATATTATTTTCCTTAAAAAAAAATACGATTAATGTTCTTTTATTAAAGTCCTTTGTGCATGTAACCCCCAATTGGCTTAACAAATTGGCTTAACAAAGTTATAATAAAACAAGCTTTTCATTCAATCTATCAAGTGATATCAGCATAAAATTAAACTATAGTATTAGTATCCAGAATTACTAGTTAACCAAACGACGGGACAGCTTCTTACTCTACAAGGCTCAAGTCCATGGAGTACTGTTGCTATATCTGGGCTGGGGCTACAAAATGCCATCTGGCTGCCTTGGACTCAATGGAGAGGCGTGCGGAAAGGCTCATTGGTGGCCATAACTTGGTAAAAACCAATCTCATTAGCCTTGAACACAGGCGCAGAGTAGCCAGCCTCTCGGTTTTCTACAGGATACATTTTGGAGAGTGTGCGTTGGAGTGGCATGATCTTATTCCTCCCGCCCCTTTCCATCATCGGACAACCAGGCGTACGGCGGGGCTTTACCCTTATGCTGTCGACGTTCCACGTACACGAACAAAGCGATTCGCTTTTTCATTTATCATCCGTACAGCCAAGGAATGGAATAACCTGCCGGCGTCCGTCTTTCCGTCCGATTACAATGTAGGCGTCTTCAAGGCAAGAGTGAATAGGTTTTTACTGAGCTAGCGCGCTTACCATCAACGGCTGCATCGCCACTTACCATCACGTGGGATGGCAGTCAAGTGCAGGCCAGTTTTGAATTAAAAAAAAAACGTTTCGTTAAAAGGGCCGAAAACATCTTCAACCCTATGGAAGTTAACATAGTGAGTTACTAACACGTCATGAAGACAGCTTACAACAGCCCGCACATCATCCTCATCAACCTGGTTTAGAATTGGACATAGGAACGTCGGACACACCGAGGGCTCCGCTAGCCATCAAATAATTAATTGGTTGTTAGCAATGTGAATATAGATCTACATTCCTAACAACCAATTCTTTCATCCTCGCCTACGAACAAAACGGCGCATACAAGGTACACCGTACAGTGATTCTCACTGCTCCCAGTCACCAATTAATACAGTTAACGGCTTTCGGCGCAACGATTCGTACACCGAACATCGATGGCCAATAATTCTTGTTTTAGATAACGCACGCATGAGCAAACGCGCGGCCCAACTCAACGCGGGCCGTATTAAGCTAATGGGACCTATCCATTTAAAATAATGTTATCGTAAAAGTAGTATCGTAGTCAAAGTAAAAATATTCTTTGAAATTCAAATACAAAGTCTACGTATACAATTCAGGTGCTTAGCTTCCTTTAATATTTTTTAAACGTGGGAGAAATGTCTACGTATACTCGTCATCGAGAGTGCAAAGACAGGTTATGTTGGCCTCACATGAACCAAAACCCCCACGATCCACCTAGTTCCACTCCAGATAAGGCCCGTCAGAACATTCAGCGCACCTTTATACTCGATCCCTTTTGTACTGCCAATGAACTCCTCCGAGCTCGCTGACCAAAGACCATACGAGCCAGGAGAGCCATTGCTGATAAACAGTAAGCTTGATTGGAAGGCTTGGTGTGGTGGACAAGGTCTTTGGTTGTCTGTGCCGATCAGAAGGCATGGAGAACGGCTGTTTGCAATACCGACACTACTCCCCCGCGACCCCACCACTACTAGATCAGCGGTGCAGCCGAGTCGCGCGGTAGGGAGAACGGTTAAACGCAATACCGACGCCTCTCCCTTCGCGACTCCATCTCAGTTGCTGAAGGTGATTCTTCGGTCTCTTTAAAATTTTGTTTGGATGCTTCTCCTTTCCTCCAGCAATAAGTCGAAGTTATTGCATTTCACAGATTAGCATGTTCAAGCAGACACTTCAGGTTTGCTATATATTATCATTATTATATTCATGAAAAAAGAAGTGCTTCTTAACTCTTATCTTTGAGGTACCAGCAAATTATACTAAATGAATACTAACCTTTAAAGTAATCTTATGTATAAAAATAGATTGCTGTTCGTTTCTCTCGAGAATGGCTGAACCAATTTGGCTAATTTTGGTTTTGAAATATTTGTGGTAGTCCAGGGAAGGTTTAAACGATGAGAAATTATGGAAAAATTACATGGAGGATCCAAATAGAAATAATTTTATTTTCCCACACAAACTGTTCCTACCTATCAAACATTTTGTGTGTGTTCTGAAAATTCGTTTTCTATGTGTTCAGATTCACAAATTCAATAGAAATAATTTATATGGAAAAACAATGTTTGCTAGGTCAGCTAGTTATAATTATAAATTATATTGTAAAGCAACAGGGCCACAGTTAGACACAACAGCTAGAAATGAAGAGTGTGATGAAGAAGAATTTTTGAAACCATCTCACATACTAGACAAAATTCTAAAGTAGAAGTATATCTGGTTTATGTAGATCTTTTGTGGGGCCACTCCTATTTCAGCAAGTAGTCTTGTACATTGTAGACCATTGAATAATTTTTACCAGTGTTATTATTTACTGTCTCTATTAACTATAAGAGAAATAGCACCTAAGTATATGTACCCAAGTATCAAGCATGATAAAATGCTTGATATGGCCTAGCTATAATGTACAATCTTCCTTACTTTTTGTATAACTTTTTGCACAAATAATGTTAAACAAAGGCACTAAACAACACCTTTAGTTCCTAGTCAAGGAATGGTCAGGAATATTTATCTGTCAAGGATTAACCCATAGTGTCCTATAGATTGTAGCTTAAATTTTCACATTTCCTGTTGTTGATATCGCCCTATTACTCTTTAAGTAAATATGATAATTTCAAAGAATCAAAGTACAATATCAATATAGGTAAAATATTTTAATTTAAGAGAAATAATAAGCATAATTTAATTATCACAATCATCCTCCATTTCAAACAAATGATTTAGTTTCAATTCAACTTTTTTAACTTTGTCAGGGTTATCATCTGATTCTCTGACCAATTTGCTTTTCTTTTCTTTCTTTTGTGACATCCCAACAACATATTCTGGCATTATAATTTTATTACCTTTGATGATGGGTTTTTGTTCATCTTCTATAGGTTTCAATTTCAATGACTTTGATAACTTAAACACAGGTTTCTTGAAAACAGATGTTTCTTCGGTCTCGTGAAGACTTTGTTTGGATGTTTCTCTTTCCTCCAATTCTTTAATAAGTCTGAGAGCAGTTGCTGTGTTTGTGGCATCAGACATTTGATCAGGTGTTACATCCGATAATGAATAATAGACCCATTTTTGGGGATTTTTAATGAAATCTGGCTTCGTTCTCGCGCGAAGGCACTCTCGTAGATTTGCTTCAGGTCGTTTGAATATGCTTTCTTTACCTCGAAACTGTCTCATTTCATGTTTTAATCTCCTATAGCTTTTTCTATCTATAACTCCATAATCTGTCTCAATGGAAGCTTTATTTGTTTTGGAAAAGCTGCACTGGTCTTCAGCGACTTTTAGCTCGTTAAAAAGACTCCTTTGTCTTTCTAAAAATGTAGACATTTCCAAAAGATTTTATCGGAAAGAATTGTTTGTGTTATAAGTATTTACGTAATTATTTTAATTATTGAATGAATTTACTGTTAAGTTGTTTTTATTATTTACAAAAAATTGCAGTATTTTATCCGAAGTATATATTAAGTATCTGCTTAATGATAATAATATCAATAATTTAATAAATACAACTTGTCAATGTCAGTCAGTGGCAGTGCCAGACAACTTGTCAATGTCAGTCAGTGGCTTCCAGATTGCGACAGAACAGTGCTGCCAGCTATAAAAATACAGTATATTCAGAAAAAATAGAGTATTTTCATACTAAAATACTATAAAAAGTTATATATTCTATGAAAAACAATCTTTAAATTAACTTGCTTATTCTAAAATAGTGTTTTCTTTAATTTTTTTATCGTTTTTTGTGGTCATCCTCGACAATATTTTTTTAATTTAATCCAATTATCCGGGTTTCGACGTATGGCCTGTTGAGTTAGCATGTTTTTCTTTATTTAATGGTGTTGGTGCTAAGAAAGTTCCGTTGTTTTGTTTTTGAATGTTTATGAATTTTTATAATACCAAGATCGGCAGCCATGGAAGCATCGTAGATACTGCAATTGGCTTTGTAGGGATTCTTGGAAAAGCGTGAACGTCACTTTCCTCGCTTCTTGAGCTCATGGATTTAGTATTCATTTCCTTTTCATTAAAATAATAAAAAAAAGTAAATTTTTACCAATTATATAGTTAGAACCAAGGATTAAAAAAGAAATAGGTATTGTATTTTTCCTTTATAAGATGCGAGTTTCTGTTAGTTTATACTACTTCTACTCAAGTTTGAGTACCAACTGATTCATTGGGAATTTTCCTCCCAGCGAGTGATGTTCATTTTGCTACATTTCGTTTTCTTCATTGATGTCTAATTGATTACAGAAGATCCCTTCACTGTATATTTTCACTACAGTAAACAGTGAAAAGTTCCACGTCCACCAATTCAGCCAACACAATTATATTTTATTTTGAAAATCAGTTTTAATAAGCGTGTAAGTCGAATTCGCGTAAATCGGGGTACAATTTTGCAAGTAAAGACATACACAGTATGTTTAATTGGGACCGGAGACTAAATAAAACAATAATTTAGGAAATAAATGGTAATTAATCGTAGATAACATGGAAGGTTTCATAAAATATAACAAAGTCGTCTGACGAGTCAATGATTCTTTTTTTTTTCTCCCGTAATATCTCTCCGTGATTAAACATACTCCGTAATTCTCGTAGCATGCTAGTAATTTTTTTTTATTTCTTGTTTTGTAACAGAATTGCACTCTTCGTTGGAGTATATGCTTTCGAAGTTGTTAACCTTTTTTAATTGAACTGAGGG